ATAAAGTTCAACTTACAAACCGTTCATTCTGTTGAGACGTAAGTCTTTCCAGGATGAGACGCCTGTCAATACTGAACAAAAATAACATGACAGCTTGACACGATTCACACGTTTTCTGTCAAAAAAAAAATGCTTTTGAAAAAACTACCTCTCTTTGGATCACGTGTTAAAGTTGACTAGAATGATAAGTTGAGATAGAATCTGCGTGACAGTCCGTCTGGGCAAGCGATAACCTGAGTAAAAATTTAGGTATCTTGATGAAAGTTAATACCTGCGTTCCTTGCCAAAATGGGTAGGTCAGTATAGCAGTCCGAAACGAATAATTGCCACGCTCACAAAATGCCATTAAACCCAAAAACAGCTAAAAATATATTAGCATCGAATTAAGATATAAAATTCAAACTTGATACAGAGAATTGCTGTGAGTGGAGAACATGTGGACTAAAATTTTACTACATTTCTCCCAACCCACTAAAGCAACAATAACCAAAGTCGCTTACCACAAATCCTTTAAGAACACTTACCGGCAGTGTGAAAATATACGAAGTCGGATTATAAAAATACCCTATCTTTATGCAAAATCTTTGTTAAAAACTTCTAAAAGCGATAAGTCATTAACTAAATCCTTTACAAATTTATATCTAGTTTTGGAGCATGGGGTCAAAACTGGCTGGGCGTGCTCATATTAAGGCATAATTCACAACTCCAATAATGCTTTTGAAGTGTACGATGTCGATGCGGGTGCTTAAAAATTGTAAAAATCATGCCAAAACTTTACATACCACATACCAAATAATTGGACGCCATTGCGTGTAACTGGCTTGTTGCCGAGTTTATTAGTCAATCTTTGAGATATATTTTTGGAAGTCGAAGAATTTTTTCTTTTAAAATAAACCGATGTGTTAAAAATTAATTCAATTGGATCAAAACTTCTATTAGCCTGCATATAGGTAATATAAATATTTCCGTACTTGCAGTTGATATTATAACATCTATCACATACGAGTACATACACATAAATTAATAGAGCTTCTTTTTCCATTAACAGTATGTTTTTGTGCTTAAAATATATGAAATTCGTCGAAAAGTTGCCATAACCCCAATTGGCTGATATTCAGAATTTTAAGACGCCGCACACTCGTCGATTTTATATGCCAAATATAAAAGTTTGAAATTTACCATTATTTCTTATAAAACCAATAAAACTAACGGTAACTACATTTTTGCTATGCCCGATTCGTACGCATTACCAAACGCGAGAGAAGTAATTCAATAGAAACACGCGAACTGCGCAGAGGAAACAACTTAGAAATTATCTCTTATAATTAAAACTGCAATGTAAAATCGTGTTTAATCGAAATAGATCGTAATGAACATTGAGAATAAAGGTATATGTTATATAATAAAGTTCTTTTTACATAAAAATGTGTTGTTTGATTATTTTAAAAGAATTGTTTTATAAATGAGCTTTTGGTATGTTTTACTTTATACATTTTTTTAAGGTATATAAAAAGTTGTGATCCCTGTCTCGCCCACAAATGAATCAAGTTTGATTATATTAGCCAATGTTTTCTAAGTCTATACTTTTGATTTCAGCTGCAACATTTTGCATGTTTCTTTGTAATTTATGTTATTCTACCAGGCATGCGATTTTTTGTATGTTATTTTTTATAATTATTTGTACGCAAGTGTATGTTGTTCTGTTGTTCGTGCATATTTTAATGTTTTTAGTAATCATCATATATACACTTTTCTCACTTTTATCAAATGCTTGTTCTATACGTAGTTTTATTTTGGCACATTAGATCGGTGTAAACTTTCATGCCTATATATTTTTTAATTTTGGTGCTTACAAAATGTGTGAAGCAGATTTAATAAGGCTTCAGTATCTACTTATTAGAAGATTCGTTAACAAAAAACTTCATATTAACTTTTTACCCTGCTATGATAACTGAATAAATGAGGGCAAGAAAAATGCTTTTGTTCGTTTGAATATTATTAAATTTATTTTATAATGGTCACTTTGATATCTTACATTTCACAATCAAATATGTAAGCAAAACGAAAGTGTATTCGCTACGTGCGTATTTGTTACTGAAATCCACGGCGAGCAGACGAGGGAGTAAAAACAAAAGCTCGGTCGAATAAAATGCTGAACTCAGCGCGCAGGATCCATCCGATCGAAGTTAAGTGAGAAAATATTGCAACGCGCGGGTTGTGTGTCGAAGAGCGAATGTATGTTGATATGCGACGAGTGTGCGACGAATTGTGTCCGCTTTACCTTTGCCCATACTTTTTGTTAAGTGGGTTGAATGATGTAGAAGTGTGGTGAGTTGTGTTGAGTGGTAATTTGTATCATCAGATATGTTGTATTGATCAGTGCTTTATTAGTGTGTGCAAGTAGTTTCCGGCCGGAGTGAGAGGATGCCTAACTCATTTAAACAGTAACATTTTAAAGAAAAAAAAGTTGTCCTAAACAAATAAAGGCCTCGGAATCTGATACTGAAGTTGAGATAAAACGTTATTGGACCACATTGCGTAACAAATGTAATTAATGAACGGAATGAGTCCTCTTATTACCTTTTATCAATAGGAAAATGTTCCTTAGATGGTAATTCTGGGCAGAGCGAATATAAGCAGATATTTGAAAATAATAATTTGTAAGACAATAATTTATTATCAAGACATATGTCCCTGTACAACTGATAATAAAATCGTAAAATGATGAAGAGCACAAACGAATTTTGAAAAACTGCAGACCTTCGTGCACCCGCTATTGCCGTCCTGTTAAAATTAAATTTCAAAAGGAATCAGTTCAAAATGCACTAGATTTGCGCTAGATCGTGCAAAAGAATTAACTTAAAACTATTCCCGGTCAGTCCGTAAATTTTATTTCACGCTCCCGATGTTATTCCATATACACCAGTTTCAATTGGAGGGCTCTCAGCAGAATCTGCGGAGTATAGCAATAAGAATGCTGAGATGTATCGTTTCCAACATACACGGAAGAACTAACGGATTGCTAAAAATAAGGACATGCCAAACCGATTGCTTTTGAGCTGAGATCCTTTCTTAACCAGCCAAAGAAAACTATCACGCAAAAAAAAAAAAAAAATCAATTTTACCTGGACATTTTCAAACATTAAGGAATCTGCTATTCCAACTCAGTACATATGTTGATTCTAAAATGAAATCATTATCCATATGTAGTATATGGAAGTTGGAGGTGGTATCGAACCCATGTTATTAATTTTTCATTAATAGGGCAAAAACATAATAACAATTTCCTTGAGATTCAATAACRTATCATCAGGTGTGGTTGAAGAACGACTTTCGAGCTGTGGTAGTAGAATTTTTTGGACGGTGCCACKCCCTCTCATATCATGTCGGCACCCGGTTTTTTCCATTGTCACACTCGTTAAAAGACCTTATGTGATTTGTTATTGTGGTTTTAGTAATCTAGGAGATATTGAATTTAAACCTATTAGAAGGCGGGGCCAGGTTACAGTTCCATATCTCATCTTAGTGTTGGTTTATGCCATCTGTACCGAGTTTCATCAAGATCAAGAACTCGATTTCTTTAGCATAGCCATCACGGGCACGCTTACAGAARTCTAGACACTTAACCAGTTTTCGACCGTTTTTAAGTATAAATCGGCCGATACTACTGCAATTTCACGTTCGATACTAGTACGAAGTTCATCAATCGTCGCTGACATATGTAGGTCATAGACTTGATGTAGGCTCACAGAAAAATCTAACGGCGTCAAACCGCATGATCGAGGCGACTAACTGACTGGGCCATTTCGTGAGATAACACGCTCGATAAACTTGGTTTTCAATAAATCGATTGTGACATTCGCCGTCCTGTTGGAACCGCATATTGTCCAAGTACATAAGATCCAATTCGGGCCTCTGCGAACTTACTTACTCTTAGGCATTATATCGGAATAAAATGAAAAAAACTGACGAAGATATTTTTACATATTATCCCCAAAAATTAAACTTCAAATAAACAAGTAAGGAAGGTCTAAATTCGCGTGTCACCGAACATTTTATACTCTCGCATGATAAAGTGATAAACGAGATTTCAGGCGTGGTTGTGAACCGATTTCACCCACATTTGGTACATGTCATCAGGGTGTTAAGAAAATATTACATACCGAATTTCACTGAAATCGGTTGAGTACTTCCTGAGATATAGATTTGGTCCTTAAGTGGGCGACGTCACGCACATTTTAAATTTTTAAATAAAGCCTCGATGCAGCTTCCTTGATATTTCATCCGTAAAATTTTGTGTTTCTGACGTTTTTGGTTAGTCGGTTAACGCACTTTTAGTGATTTTCAACCTAACCTTTGTATGGGAGGTGGGCATGGTTATTATCCGATTTCTTCCATTTTTGAACTGTATATATAGTTTGCGACTGTTTGGTATTCTGGCGAGTTTGTCTCATCTCTAATTGAGCAATATCAGTCTCTAACTTGTTATATGCTTTGCACCAAGTCATTAATAAACAAGAGCAAAACAATGGCTGATGACGTTGGACTCTTTTACCTTATGATGAAAAAACGAGAGGAGGAAAGACGTAATGTATTAATATTTATAATTTTGCAATAATGATTAACAAGGTGCATATCTTCTAGCTAGATTCGCAGGCGCAATATGACTGTTTTGCGAAACAACAAAACAAAATCCGTTTTCATACGAAAAGAACACATTCCGAAAGTTCTTTCGATTTCCCAAATCTTTCTGGTGGGATCTCATTCATCAACTCAAGCCGTATGACCAACAGCAAACATCGATTCCATTTGAACTTCGAGTGAGTTACATTTTAACCTTGAATAAACAGTATGTCTTCATGCAATCAAGTTTCTCAAGTTTATTTCAGTTCTTTATTTTTTATGCAATGGCTCATATCAGTGTTGCGTGGGATATACATATTTCGCGGTGATGAGCCAACCCACCATTTCCCGTTGTATCGAATATACTTGTAAATTAGTGGTGGAGCGTAAGCATGGCGAAGTGCGTTTTCCTAATTCTGTTGAAGAATACGATAGAATGAAGACTGGGTAAGTTGCATTCCAATTTGAAAGAAAATAAATCGCTATACAACAATTTTATTCCAGATTTTATTCGAAATTTGGAATAAAGAGTGTAATTGGAGCAATTGATTGCACTCATGTTGGTATAATTGCACCTGCCTTGTCAAACTCAGTTGTACCGCATGATTATATGAACAGAAAAGGTTATTATAGCATTAATGTTCAAGCGGTAAGTATTATATTCAATAACTAATTAATCATTAATTTTTCCAATAGGTTTGACGATGAACTAATTTTCCGGCACGTTAATGCAAAATTTCCCGGCTCATGTCATGACTCCGGTATATGGACTACTTCGCCAGCAAGGATGAAGCTAATAAGAGAACACTCTGATGGAGCTTTTAAATGTCTTTTGGTTGATTAAACAAAATTTCAATACTAGGCACATAAGAGCAAGAAACACGATTGAAAGGGCACTTGGAGTTTTAAAATCACGCTTTCGTTGTAATTAAAAAGAACGTACATTGCGGTACAAACATTCGAAAGCTGCATTATTTGATTATACTTGTACAATATTTCACAATATATTACAAGAATGTGGCATTTTTCTAGATGAAACCGAAATATTTCCAGATCGATCACCTCCTGAAAATGTGGGAGAAATCTCTGAAAACTACTCGGGGGAGTATTACACTCGAGGCAGAGCAGCACGTCAGAGGTGCATTAACACCTTAGATAATTAAAATTCTACCAATATATAATTCAATTCAAACTCCATTTATTTCATTTATAAAATAAATGAACATAACAATAAAATAATTCAAATATACAGAAAAAGAAAAATTTTTATTTTTCACTTTTTTGTACAAAAACATCACAATAAATAATTCATATGTATATAAAATTCTATATAAAATTTTCACATTCTTCACTTTTTTGTACAATCTTCTGTGTTTTTTACGATGGTCGCTCAGACGCTGCCGCTAAATTATTAATTGATTCCGTGTGTTTGTTAATGGAATCTAGAGTTTGAATCCGGAAAGCTCTCTCCTCCTCGGCTTTCCCTTTCCTTAAATCCATATAATTTCGGAACATTTCGTCCGTCGTAATTTTTTTGGTACGGGACGATGACGGAGTGCCGAAGTCGTATTGAGGAGTGATGGTGCAGCTGTGAAAACTACTTCTTCCTAAATTAGAAAATTAAAAAACAATTATAAATTCTGCACAGCGAAGGTGAAAAGTACTACCGCGACACTGTCAAAAAGGAACATATTGCTCTTATAGCGGAACCTGGTTGTAATTACTTTGGCCACGTCACCTCTCCTTACGGGTCAGCTGAGGATGAGATGCAAGCTATATGGCAACATTTACAAGACAATTCAGTTGATGTAGAAAATCTAGACGCTGTCGGTGCTGATGGCACCAACACGAACACAGGTTGGAAAGCTGGAAACTATAAGAAAGAATAGGTAGGCCATTACAGTGGRTKGTTTGTCKTCTACATTTCAACGAACTTCCATTTCGTGCTCTTTTCGAACACATAGATGGTGTCTCAAAGAGTCCAAATACATTCTCTGGCGACATAGGTAAACTGCTACTTGATTNCCAGTTTTCGACCGTTTTTAAGTATAAATCGGCCGATACTACTGCAATTTCACGTTCGATACTAGTACGAAGTTCATCAATCGTCGCTGACATAGGTCATAGACTTGATGTAGCCTCACAGAAAAATCTAACGGCGTCAAATCGCATGATCGAGGCGGCTAACTGACTGGGCCATTTCGTGAGATAACACGCTCGATAAACTTGGTTTTCAATAAATCGATTGTGACATTCGCCGACCTGTTGGAACCGCATATTGTCCAAGTACATATGATCTAATTCGGGCCAAAATTATTAGGTTATTGTTGAGCGGTAGCAATTCCCATTCACAATAAAGCACATAATTATCCTTCATAACTGAAAATGACAGTTTTGTTAGATACTGCACAAGATTTACGGCTTCCCCTATTAATGACAATATAGAATCGGTTCTAAATTTAAAAATTCAAAGCATGGATTGCATATGGGCACGCCTTCTGGTAGCATACTGACGATGCTGAGCTCCCAGAAAACATAAAAGCTTCGGCTTCAGCTAAATATGAAAGACATGTTCGCTGCCGTATACATAAACCATCCCAAACTTTCACGAGCTCAAAAGCTGTACCATCTCAAGCACAAAATAAAAGGGGAAGCAGGCAGTATCGTCAAGCGTTTCGCTTTAAATGACGAAAGCTTTAATCTGGCTTGGAAAGCACTGGTCGAAATGAAAGATGAAAATAGGAACCATAGAGGAATTACCGAAATTTATGAATACTTAAAGAGGCAATATTATTTTCCCCATATGCAATCTATAATAAATAAAACTTTAAATAATTGTAAAATTTGCAATACACTCAAATACGAAAGACACCCACCAAAATTAGAACTCCAAGTTACAGAAACACCAAACAAACCTCTTCAAAATTTGCACATTGACATATATACTATAAATAGTAAATGTATTTTGACCATCATTGATAAATTTTCTAAATACGCGACAGGCTATACATTACCATCAAGAACAATCGTTTGTGTGCTCAAAGCTTTAGAAACATTTATGAACTTTGCCGGAATACCTAAAAACAATTTTTTTTTGTGATCAGGGTACCGAATTTACACCTAACATTTTTAAAGATTTTTGTAGACAATATAAAATTATACTTCACTTCACATCATTTCAACAATCTAGTAGCAACTCTCCAATAGAACGACTTCATTCAACCCTAACTGAAATATACCGAATTATAATGACAACCATAAAATCCAAGAAAATGGAATGAGATCACGAAGAGATATTAGATGAGACGTTTATAACTTACATTAATACTATCCATTCATCTACAAAATTTACACCATGTGAGTTATTCTTTGGAAGACCGTATAGCTTTTCAAGAGACATAAAATACGACAACAAACACGAATTTTTGGTTAAGTTAAATGGTTAAACTATACCCCATTGTTAAAGAAAAAGTTATGAAAGCTAAACTAAAAAATATTAGTCGTCTTAATAAATCTAGGAAACCTCCAGAGAGTAGGAACATAGAAGAGGATATATATAGAAAAGAATGTAGGAGAAACAAAATAACTGCACGATTCTGAAAACATAATGTATTAAAAGATAATGACGTTACTTTACAAACTACTAAAGACAAAAAGTTACACAAATCAAAAATTAAACTGAGGCCATGAAAATAATAAACAATTATTTACTTTTAGAATAGCCTTTGCTTATGTACAAGTTGTGGAAATACAAAATTTCGACAAAGACCGGAATATGATAGCCCTGAAGATTGAACACGCGGGAACGATTGAAAGTTATTTCAATTTCATTCATATAATAGACTTGGACAATTATAATTCGCAAACTTCAGAATTAATTACTATCGTAGACAAATTTGAAAAAAAATAGCCTACTAAAAGATGCTGCTAAAGTTTGTAAGCTGAAGCTTTCCGGACTCGAAACAAAAACTACAGACATTAAAGCCATATAAACGTACAAAACGAGGACTATTCAACGGCTTAGGCTCTGGAAATGACGCTATGACTCAAGAATAATAGGGGAAAATCGAAAAAGTTTGAATATACAAATGATACAGAGATTTCAAAATTTGAAGGAGCATATAAATAACAATCAGGAAAGCATTACAAAATTTTTAGAAAAACTCTCAGCAAAAACATCTAATCATATTCTAAAAAAAACTATTGTTGTAAACCACCGAGGTGTGTAAAGTGCGCTGGAAATCATTCAACACTAAGCTGCACAAAACCTGCCGAACTACCGCCAAAATGCTGTAACTGTAGTCAAAATCCTCCTGCGAACTATAGGGGATGTGAAGTGGCAAAGCAACTTCAAAAAATTAAAAACGCGACTGGGA